ACTTCTTTTATAAAATCAGTTAGCATATCAGCCATATGAGACCATGTTTTGAGCACTGACTGTGCATCGAAGCAGTCGAGATTTCCTTCTATCATGTCGCAGAGCTCTCCCAAACGTTTCAGTACAATGCCTTCAGTCTCGAGACCGCCGCGAAGTGTTCCAGGAATAATCTCGAGAAATTCACTGGAAAAAGTTACTCAATTCCTATAAAAAGGGGTATCTACCTCGAGGTCCATAACAGAATCGACGAAGATTAAAGCTCAGCCTAGCACCGTTCAAGTACTCAAAAATTCATCGCCACTACCGAAGCGAGTTGGGCATGCATTTGCGAAAACAAACGGTTCACCTGAGGAGTTTAGTGGAGGGCTTCTCAGCAGTATCTTGTTCGTCCTTTCTAGACTTCTTGAGAATGGCTTCAACTAATTTCATCGCTGGCCATTCTCCAACTGTGTTTGCGTGTACTGACAGATCACCACCTCGAAACAGCTGACAAAGAGCAGACTAAAACAAAAAAGAGTAAAGCACCCTCTCTACAAAGAAGAAAATACCAATACAAATACCTCTATATCTTCTATACTATGACTGCTCTCAGCAATCCAAGCACGGATCTGAATAAAAAGGAAACGAGACTCTCTACGCCTTGCCCCTTCATCACTGATAGCTTCGATACGTCGGCCAAGTGCAGCAAAACAGAGACATATCGAATTCGCGTCGGTTTCTGGAAACCGTATGTTACACATATAGCACATTTTACGAAGAATCGATGACCGCACCCATGTATTCCTCACAGAGGAAAAAAAACAACGGTACTAGGAGACGGTACACTGCCTCTACAAAAAAAAACGATAGGCGACTATTTTTCTTCTTTTCCAGTCGTGCTTTTCAAACCTCAACGTTATGCCTTCTAACTTCTGGAGCATTTTCCTCCTTTTCGGTAATTAGCGAATACTAGAGCGAATTTTAGCCGTATGCTGTTGGATTGCAATTTGTTGGTAAAAACATCACGTTCTTCACATGGAAATTTTCTCACCACAGTCTTTCATTTGATCAGCGAAACGAACGAACTTGAGCAAGGAAAATCCCATATTTCAGCATTATACTGGGAATATTAGCACATACAGGGATACCTGAAATACCAATTATTACAAAGAAACACACAAAATTTGTCTTGTTATCAGTACCCACCCTGCTTAGATGTTTTGATACCGAGGACAGAACAAATTAGCGGAAATATGTGCTTCGGTGCGTCCTCGAAAACACGATGTGTCCTTGAGTCGGTTAGATAGCTGGAAACAAAAGAATGTTGCAGAAATCCACGATTACAAAATGAAGAAGAATTGAAGTATACTACGTCCTATGGCCGTCGAATATCTGATCGAGAATAGAGTTCAATGAAGCCGAGAAAAAACAAAAAGATATCATAATACGTGCAAAACTAACTCCAAAAAATTCGAGGTGGCTCCTTCGAGCACAAGCTTGAAGTCCTGACTGAAGGGTCTTGCTATCTCATTCTCAATGGTCTTCACATCTTCAAGGGCAACGACGGAACTGCCAATAAGAAAGCGAAGGAAGCAGATGATCAGCTTAAAACTTTACAAATCAAAACCAGTAATATTGAGTGTTGAAGAACAGCAAACCTCTTCGAATCTATCATCGACACTATTACGAAATGCGGAGATCAGCGCAGTATAAGCAGAGATTATGGGTGCTGATGTTTTCAGCTTGTTCATGACCGCATGAGAGCGCAAGGGTTTGGTGAAAGTTGCCAGAAGCTTTTCCCGCAACATACCTTCAAAGAAAGTGTTCTGCTGCAGACCAGTTCTAACAAAGTTTTACCTCACCTGTACTTAGTTTTGGACCAGCAAAACTAATGAAAGAAGTCCAGGCCTGTAGACAGATTTTAACGGCTTCTTCATCAGAAATCTTGAACCACGTCTCCATTGGAGTGAACAAATCGTTCCACTCCTTACTTGGCATCTGTAAACAGGTAGAGACATAGTATTGTCTTTGATTCCACACGGCTTTACATTTATCTTCGTTACTACTCAAGTTCAAAGAGCTGCTGCATTCAGAAGTATACAAATGCACCTTTGAACGCTCCAAACCATGTAAAGAATTTGAACCGAAACTAAGGATCTAGACGTACCTTGGTCCCAAAAACCGTCACAAAAAGCTTGCAATAGGCAAGCCATAATGATGCGCCATAGCATGGGATTTCTGCTCTCGATAGCTCATTCAGGAACTTGTCAAAGTCTGCTTTTTGACTCAGCAGTACTGGCTTTATAGCATCACGAATTTGAGGTGACGGATCTGAAGAAAAACTTCAAGAAAGTGCTCGCAAAAAACGGACAGAGCTGGAGGGTAACCTATGTAGGAAGTGAAACCAACCTGATACGATGAACTGAACAATCTTCTCGAAAACTTTGCTAAGAAATCGAAGATCGGCGAGCGATGTTTTAGAGTCGTTGATAACAAGAAATACTGACTGGATCCAATTTTCGTTGTGTAAACGAGATTTAATATCTTCGCCACTAGAAAATTCGACAATTACTCAAGATTTCACTATTTCATTATGGGTGATGGACGATGAATTTGATTCCAATAAGCTCACCTTCTCTCGGAGCCCTTATTCTTTGTGTATAATGCTAGCAGACCATCAGCGTTCCTGAGAGTAACCAATGCCGCTGCACTGGATATTTGGTTCGTAGTTGAAGAGTTCACAACACTTCCACTGGCAGCTTTGCCGCCCATTATGCTGAAATCTATCTCGAAAAGTTAATAAATACATAACCCGAATTAATAGAAAACAGCAAGTAATGGAAATATAATTGAATTCGTGATTTCCCGCAGTCCCATTTTCAAATGTAAATTTTCGCGCTATTTCGCAAGCACGATTGGAGCGCGGAAAGTGTGGCTGCTAACGAGAAGCCATATGCAGCAATTAGGAACGGTTACAGTATATGCTTGGTTTTTTCGGATACATTCTATTTTTAAAGTCACGCCAATAATCGGGACCGAAAAGATGACTAGAAAGACTGCAACAGTCGTTAAATCTCGAAAAAGGTTATCTTTAGACTATCGTTCAATCGCGCCTCCACTGAATCGTCAATTACAAAAACAATCTACAGCACCTGCCCAAGACTTACACAATCCTGTTACTTCACGCTTTAATCAGTCTTTGAAATACGGACCCACTATGTGGAGAATCTTATATAGCACTACATTCCTAATAACAACACACAAAGGCTTCGTGTACAACAGCGTACTCACTGGTTCGCGTTATCACGTCGGTGGTTTCTCAGCTATCACATCCTTGGTATGAGAGGGGCCCTGCGGAGGGAGACATAGATTGATAAACCGTCACGTCAAGAGATTCACATAATAGACGGATGGGGAGGCTGTTTGCTTGCGTCCAATTTATTTTCATCCAGTTTAGGTGGAGGACGAGGTGATGCGGAGCCAGGGTGAAAATCGTGTCGAGTACGTGGTCGCAGAGGTACGACCCCCCCCCCGAAAATCGAGATCCTGGCACGACCCCCTCTAACAGAGCAAATTAATTCAATTAAAATAAATCCTGCAAAACAAATCAAAAAAAAATTCTGCAAAATAATGCTAAGGACGCTTCATCTTGTCATCTATGCACGTCTTCCATCGCTGCATACTTTTGTGTACATACTGAAATATCGACTCGAGGAAAGAGGCATTAACTTTGTGTGACCTCAAGGCGAGGTTCGTTCAGAAACGCACAGAAATCCTGAAGACACGGGGTTGCGATTCAATCTTGATTCTTGCTTGAGTATATCAAAACAGCCGAGAGTGTATCAAAGGCCGATTCAACGGCAGCTGCGGCGCGATTGTCACTGGGTCAGATTTGCCGAAATTTCAAAAAAAAACGTCCGAATCTACACCCTCGATGAAAAGGTTGCATTCCTCCATTTCACAACCTTTGAAGCAGCTTGAGGTAGAGTTAGATAGAGCTGGATTTCGCGTTTCCAACAAGCATCGAAATTGCTCTGGAAGCCTTCCTTGCAGAAAGATAGGGTCTGTCAAATTTCGTCGAGTAAATGTCGAGGAGGCCCAAATTTTCACGCGAGTTTTTGCCACTTCAAGAGCAATATATCTCTTATATTGTAAGATCCTGAAAAAGGGAAGATAGTTTTGGAAAGCGGAAGGTTTGCGCTTCCTGATGGTCTGTTTAGTTTTCTTCTACAGCTTTTTGGTTGAAGAGATAATTGCGTCGAGGATCTATCGAGGTCGGATCCGGCCACCTGGAAATCCGCTCCCTCATTCACCATTGCAAGTGTGACTCGTTGGCAACACTCGGAATGTGTCTAGAACAATATCTTTGAACGCAAACAATAAGAATAGGAGCAATCGTCATCATCCGATTTGGTATTGGTATAAGCCATGCATCCCTCCTCCACTCACAGTTGCAGAATCGATTGAAAGGTGTTATATGATGGGGACCTTCGAACGAAACTGTATTGTAGTAGACATAGTGTGTTGTGCTATTCCTGTAACCTAAAAAACAACTTCATTTGCCCAGCGCTTTTTCTTCACGGTTGTCGTTTTCCGACAGGGTATCCCTCGTATT